TAAAATGGAAGGTCGCGCATGGTATGGGCACATATTCCCAAAGTTTCAGCTTCCTATCTTTTTCCGTTCCCGAGTTATGAACTTTCTCGCCAAAACTTACAAACCCTCGTACGCGGGGCCCAGACGTGTGTGGGGGATGGTACCGCGGTTCTAGGGTGGCACTTGGCCGGGGTACCCAACAGCAAAATCTCGGCGCTGAAACTTGCTTGGTTGCCGAGTTGAAATAATTGGCCGGGGTACCCACTAGCAAAATCTCGGCGCTGAAACTTGCTTGGTTGCCGAGTTGAAATACCTACTTGGCCGGGGTACTCACTAGCAAAATCTCGGCCCTGGAACTTGCTTGGTTGCCGAGTTGAAATACCCGGACGGACGAACACAGACAGACACAAACATACACACACGCAAAGACAGGGTCGTCCAAATATGCGTTTTTGCAATTTGCATATAGGCAAAAACGCATAAAAACGTATATTGTGACGAACCATGATGTGTGTGTATTTTTATGCGTTTTGCAGCTATGCAATGCAGAAAACGCATATTGACGAGGGGTTGTCTGTGTGTCTGTGTGTGCGACTGTCACGCACTTTCATCTGAAAACCTACAAAAGCTGCGGGGCTGAAATTTCGGGAACTTAATCTACATGTACGTAGCGGGCCCCAATTTCCAAAATGGGCGCCAAAACCCGCGTACGGGCCAGCCAACGTTTTTTTGGGGTTAGTTCATAACTCGGGGATCAGAGAAGCTAGAGCGCTGAAATCTTAGGGGAATGTTCCACGTCCAGCTGGGTATTAATGCACTCAAACCCATCCCCCGGGTAAGCGTGGTACCCGCGTACGAGCCCGCCAAAATTTTTTTCGGGTAAGTTCATAACTCAGTGATCTGGAAAGCTAGAAGTCCGAAACGTGGGATAATGTTCCTCGCCCAAGCGGCTATTAGTGGGCTCAAATCCGGCCCCCGGTTAGAAAGCATGGTACCCCCGTACGAGCCCGCCAAAATTTTTCTGGGGTAAGTTCATAACTCGGGGATCTGATGGTACTCCCCTACGAGCCCGCCAAAATTTTTCTGGGGTAAGTTCATAACTCGGGGATCTGAGAAGCGTGAAGGCTGAAATCTTGGGGTAATGTTCCCCGTCCAAGCAGGTGCTAATGGGCTCAAATCCAGCCCCCGGGTAAGCGTGGTACCTGCCGGCGTACGGGTCCCCCAAAATTTTTCCCGCGCAAATTCATAACTCGGGGTTCTGAGATGCCAGAAAGCTGAAA